CTAGGCACTTACCAGCACATGGGGTCGGTTGTGCTGATGCTACACTCTGTGCATCTTTTTGCACAGATCACAGTACCGGAGCAGCAGCTTTTGGACAGCAGTAGGAGCATTCGGGAGCTGACTTCAGTCCAGGGACATTCGAGGTAGCCTTGCTGACGTCCGCAAGCCCGGAGTCCCTTTCTATTTTATTCAGTTTGTTATCATTTGTACCGAAGCAAACAGTTTTATGTTTCGTTCGAACCTTGTATTTAGTATTCTCTAGACGTTCGTGAGTACTGCGACACCAGTCTTGGGTAGAGGATTTTGTTAAACTTCCGCATTTCTTTCAGTTAAATATATTTGAGACTTCCGTTTTATTATTAATGCTTTATTGCTTTCTAATATTGACGATGTTCGCTAAAAGAGGTAATTGATAGTTGGCTTGCCTAGCTCCTATTAGTAGGCGCCATGATGACTCCCGAGGGTGGGAAATCCGGATCGTGACACCATGTGCTGGTAAGTGCCTAGCCTAACCCCGGCGAAGTAGTGACGAGGCTAGACCGGACTACCACATAAACCTGTGCAGTTATATATATATGTACATCTACAGCGGGAAAATAACAAGAATAAACATTTTAAATGGGAGGGGGGACTGCTTCGGGGATAATAGATAATACAGAATTGCAGGAGAATAATAGGAACATAAAAAAATTAACTCTAACACGGATAAGAGAATATAAAAGCAGATTTCACTGTCAGTACACATCTCGTTGTAGGCGTGCAACCCGATCCCATTTCTCATTGTTTCCGTGGTAGGCGTACCACCCGCTCCCATTTCATCAAATCTCGTGGTAGGCATACCACCCGCTCCCATTTCATCAAATCTCGTGGTAGGCGTACCACCCGCTCCCATTTCATCAAATCTCGTGGTAGGCGTACCACCCGCTCCCATTTCATCAATATCTTGTGGTAGGCGTACCACCCGCTCCCATTTCATCAATATCTTGTGGTAGGTGTATCACCCGCTCCCATTTCAATTCAACATAAAGTCACAATAAAATTCCGTCAAGGAAAACAAATGCAATAAAATAATAATTTCCCGGCAAGGGAACAACAATATCAAAATAACCATCCCGGCAAGGGAGAATCAGCTATAACCAAATTCTAGCGCAACTCTTACTCAGCTCGATTAATACCAGTACTCAAACATAAATAAAGTCCACGGGAATAAACTAAATCTCTACTCAATATCAAGAGTCATCAATTTAAAGCATCCGAAGTGTCATTTAAGAACACAACAACTATCAATTTAAGACTCACGGTCATGCTTGACACCAACGTATAGATACTCGTCACCATGCCTATACGTCGTACTCAACAAGAAGCAATTAACAAATAAGACTCAACTCCTAGTCCCTCAAGCTAGGGTTGGACCAAACACTTACCTCAAACCTCCACGGCCAATTCAATCCTCAATAACCGCCTTTCCTCTCGAATTCGGCTCCAAATCAATTGTATCTATACAATAATGACTTCAATACATCAATAAATGCTAAACAATACGAACCAATGCCTAGTTATAGCTTTTCCATCATTTTTTCCAAAAACTCAAAAATCGACCGTGGGCCCGCTTGGTCCAAACACGAGGTTCGGACCAAAATCAAATCCCCCATTCACCCACGAGCCCAAATATATAATTTATTTTCAAATTCGACCCCAAAACGAGGTCTAAATCAAGAAAAATCAAAAAGCCCTAACTCTACCCAAATACCCAATTTTCTACCTTAAATCACATGTTTTAGACCTGGAATTTCAATAGATGTTGAAGGAAATGGAAGAAAATAAGCTAAGAATTACTAACCCAAGAGGTTTTCATGAAGAATTGCTTCAATGGTCGCCCAAGAGCTTGGAGAAGAAAGGTTTTGGTGAAAACTTGGTGAAATCCCGTAATGGTCGCCCAAGAGCTTGGAGAAGAAACGAGTGGGCCATCACGCGAACGCGATGAAAGAAAGATCAAAGCTTCACGAACGCGGAAGATGTGTCGCGAACGCGAAGAAGAAATGGGGTCTGCAACAGCTGAAGCAAAATCTGCTATTTTCATATGTCCAAAACCACTCCGAAACACTCCCGAGCCCTCGGGGCTCCTAACCAAACACATGCACTAACTCAACAACATCCTACGAACTTAACCGTGCGATCAAATCGCCAAAATAACATCAAAAATAATGAATCAAACCTCAAAATCAAGAGTTTTTCTTCAAACTTCATTAAGTTTCAAATTTAGAACTTTAAGCCCGAAACACGTCAAACGACGTCCGATTTCAACCAAACTTTACGGAAACATCTTAAATCACATATAAGACCTGTACCGGATGCCGGAACCAAAATACGGGCCCGATACCAACACGTTCTAATCAATTTCCATTTCAATTTTCCTTAACAATTTCAGAAAAACAATTTCCTTTAAAAATTCATTTCTCGGGCTCGGGACCTCGAAATTCGATTCTGGGCATACGCCCGAGTTCTATATTTTCCTACGGACCCTCCGGGACCGTCAATCACGGGTCCGGGTCCGTTTGCCCAAAATGTTGACCAAAGTCAAACTTATTCATTTTAACACCAAAATTTAGCATTTTTCACAGAATTTCATATTTAAGTTTTCCGGCTACGCGCCCGGACTGCGCACGCAAATCGAGGTGACTCTAAATGAGGTTTTTAAGGTCTCGAAAGCACATAATGGGTAAGAAAAAAGGTGATGACCCTTTGGGTCGTCACATTTCATAAACTACAATAAATATAAATCTTTACCTTGTAACATCCTCTTGCATTATGATTTTCATCACCACACTGTCTGCATGTCATTATAATTCCTTCCTTGAACTACTCCACTCACCTTTCCTCTTCAAAGCTTCATCAGCAACCCTATTCCTCTTTACTTTGGGTCTTCCAACCATCTTGACAATTCAGGTGGCTCCATGTCCTGACTACGCAGAACTTTCCAGAATTGCACCTCTCTAACAGGCTGAATTTTGTACTTGTATGTTAGCAAGTAAGCCTCCTTACTATACCACCAGTGTTTTTGTGTCATTAGTTCAATCTTCTCATGCATCAATGCCTTAATAGCATGGGGACAAGGAATTCCAGATAAATCTCTCAACCTACAGGTACATCTCTTCTTCTCAAGATTCACTGTATGTTTGTCTTTACCTTCTGTTATTTCATAGTCATTATCTCCATTAAAGTTCAAAGTGCAAGCATGTGATATTGCCCTATAGTCATGGTATAGTTTCATACATGGTGGACTGAAATTGTCATTCCAGCTCATTGCTTTGCCTTCATAGTCTGCAAGCCTTTCCATTACCTTGATCCTTGTGTTCTCCAACATCTTGATAATTGGCATATGTCTAGCATCTAGAGTCCATGCATTGAAGGACTCAGTAAAATTGTTATCCACCATTAGATTTTTACATTGTGTATCAAAGTAGGCTCTACACCATGTCTTTGGTGGATAGTTGATCAAGTCCCTTGCAGCATCCTCTGACATCCCCCCAAGATTCAACAACTGATCTTTAAACTCTTCTTCATAAGTACTCCAAGCACACCACCACATCAACTTCCTCATTTTCCCACTCCTCCATTTTTTTAACCAGTTGGCTTCAATGTGTCTAGCACAATACCTGTAATGAGCATCAGGTAGTACAGTGCTCACAGCATCTAATAACCCCTGTGATGGCAGATGAGAACAGAAGAAAAAAAAGAAAATTAAACATAGTTGGAAACAGTAATTGAAACAGATGAGAACAGCAGAAAAAAACAGAAGTAAAAATAGTATTGAATACAGATAAAAACAGAAGAAAAAATAATAGTTGAAACATATGAGTACCGCAGAAAAAAGTTATTGATTCCGTGAACCCATAGGTATCTGCCTTTGTTTGGCGCTCTCTAGTAGGGCATGAAGCGGCTACCGAGAAGTTTGTCTATAGAGGGATGAATCCAGTGAGGAAGTGCCCCGGAGACATCACAACGGGAGGAGTCCACATGGAATGGATGACAAATAAAAGGATCAGGACTTTTTATGGCGGAGGAAGTGAAGGGGCATGGATGGTATGTCACCAGGTCGTGTGATATATGCTTTGGCGCTATAGGAAAAATAAGAAGAATATACTATAGAAGTAAGCTAAAAGATATACTATGTTGAAGGCTTGCAGCTACATGTTGAGCAACAAAGTTGATCAATGGATGTACAAGAAACGAACCGTTAATATGTAGTGAATATTTAACAAGTTTAATAGTATTACTTCTTTTTCCATACGACTACGCCAAGTATGGATTTATTTTATCAGCTTTGAATTTTGTCAATATATATTGTTCATGTACAAACAATGATGTCGGGCATATGCACGGGCACCAACATCTAGTTTATATATATATATATATATATATATATATATATATATATATATATATATATATATGAGATATGAT